CACAGCATGCTTAATCAGAGAGAAAGTAGGGAGGATGTTGTTTCAAACTAGAGCCTAATTAAATAAGCTGCAAAACTAATATAGGGTTGTTTGAAGCAACTTAATTTCATCCAGTTAATCATGTTGTTGGAATTATGACTTCCCCTCTCATTTCCAAAACATAGATGTGTGAAATTATTCTCATCAAAATTACTAGGAAAACAGGTATTCTGTGTTTTATTGATGCCTTTTTATTGAAACATCTGTTATCTCTCAGTTATACTGTAGTAGTAACATTTGGAAGCTGAACTGATTTGCTTATATTTTGGATTTTGAGGGTTGCTAATGTAAGTCCATTGTGACAGCCCTGACAAGGAAGTGGTGTTTTCCCTTCATCATACCTAAAAAGCAAAGTGATTTTTAAAAAAATCTTATTGAATTTATTCATCTATTTAAATTATATGCATTTGCTTGTTATCTTAAGGTCTGATCATAGAATACTAGTTGCCAAAGCTGCTTATGCAAAAGAACAGTTGTTTAGATTAAGGAATCAAAACTTTGGATATCAGGCTAAGGAATATCCATTTGAAATTTATTAGTGAAATGTCTAGATGATTTTTCTTTAAAAGATATGGAAAATTACTATTGCCTCTGCTAACAGCACTTGCAGTAATTCTAGTTGATGTTATCTGGTGTGTAGACTTTGAAAAAGAAGCAAATTGGCTGAATTTTTAATCTTGTTGCTTAAAAAGAATTCAGGGGTCTAGAAATTTAATAAGCAATTTGGCAATAGGATGAGGAAAGAAGGAACCACAGGATGTAACCATATGGGAATACCTTGCAAAACAGAAAGTTTAGATAGTTCAGTGGCAGAATGTGGCCTTTCATTTATTTAAGTTTATATCTTTTCTATTCATAGATAGTCCAAATAATTTTCAGTTCAAATTAAATGTAATATTATTAAACATGCAAATCTAATGCTACCTCAAGGATTTAATGTTACGTTCTTTTAAAAATGAAGTAATGAAGTGAGCTGTATGGATTTGTGTTTTAATTGTATATTAATAATTGTTTGGAAATAAATACATATTTCTGATGTTGAACATTTGTTTGAAATATTCTTGCTTTTTAAAAAAGAAAATAATTTTTATCCAAAAGGCGTTAGTACTAGAGGTGAATTCTCAATATAAGCCAAGATCCAGGGTGTTTTGAAAGATAAATCATGGACAATTATTTATATCCAAATTAATTCAAAGTACAGTGTACAGTTATAAATAGTAAAAAGGGGAATCTGTGATAAAGGTAAGAAGAAAATTATGCTTGTATGTTTAAACCAACACACAGATTTATCTGACAAGTGTAAATGGGGAAATATTATTAATTTATGCTTAATACAAAATTATGTAGAATAAATTATGTTTTGAAAACCAGTTTGGTGTAAATGCTAGGTGACAGGTTGAAAGTGGGGAGACTAGGTTTTAATCCTGCCTTAAGCCAAAGTCAGTTCAGTGTCTTTGGGCCAGTCACTGTCTTTTAGCCTAGAAAACATGCAATGGCAAACCACTTATGAAATCTTGCCAAAAAAACTTCAGAAGCCTTTCCAGAAGGACCACCTGATGAAGAAAATATGCTTTATGAAATTCAACATACTTAAAGCAATTATACCATACCATTAAACTTAATATTATGTATATTAACCTGTGGTGGAATCTAAATCAGTGCTGCAGTATGGAAAATGATTAATTTATTAATAGTTTTATCTACATAATGATTGTTTAAGGTATGAAACAAATTACAAATTATCATTTTTTTTCCAAAACAGTTTTTATTAGTTTTCCATTTTACACCAACATGGCTTAAGAACCCACGTGGAGACATGGTGATCATTTTATTTATTTTATTTATTTATTTATTTATGAGACTTATATACCGCTTTAAGTGCAAGCACTCTCTAAGAGGTGTACACCAGTAAGCAATGTATATATATATTTACATTGCCCCCAACAATCTGGGTCCTCATTTTACCTACCCCGGAAGGATGGAAGGCTGAGTCAACCTTGAGCCGGTGAGATTTGAACCGCTGACCTGCTGAACACAGTCAGCTAAAGTGGCCTGCAGTACTGCACTCTAACTGCTGCACCAACTCGGTAACAGTAACATGATAAATATATGCACAATATTTCTTAAAAATTTCCCTCTCTATCTATATAGGATATTATAATCAAATTAATACATTTTCAGATAAATTCATTCATTACTATGTCTAACCATCAACTCCATTAATCAGCAAAAAGTTTTCAATCTATAGAAACCTATACTTTTTCGCACATTTAGACTTAAACTTAAAGAACTCTCCATTTATTTAAAACATTATAATCAAATTAATATATTTTTAAAACCAAATCATTCACTAATATATCGATACATCCAGGTTAAATAATTAAAAATAAACTAACATTCTCTATTTATATTGTTATAGGCTCATTAAAACATTTCTAAAACAAGTTTTCATTGAATATATCACTCTATATAAATTTCATTAATCAATAAAAATTAACAAAAACTCATTGACTATCCCTAAGATCCTGTATTATGCTTTCTTAATTTTACAAATATTTAATCTTAGACTAACATATTCACTATTCAGGTGCCCCGAGTATTTTCTTATTTAAACATTATTAACTCCAAAACTAAATTCTTCTCTTTCTCACCAATATTCTATTTTTTTCAATGCTTCTCCAAATCTCCAATGATTAATTCCATCTTTTCCCATATTTCAGTCCTTTTCTCATTATACCATCTCTAATATTAAAAACATATAAAGCCCTTTTAACAAAGTTCAAGTCCAAATCAATCCGGGTCGCTATGAAACCTTTACCACATTACTATAATCAAGTTTAATATTTATATCTTATTCTAGGTTTCTTTCTATTCCAAATAGGTTTCCATAATCGGGCCTCCACCTGCCACACTATACACACCAAAAAGGAAACTCCCATTGTGCATTTTGTTAAGTTAGTATAAATGTTATAGCTAATCTGAGTAACTCGTAGCAGAAAATCCTTTCCCCTTTCTTTTAACATCGGATAAATTTCAATTAAAATCCTTTCTTTTATATCATCCTCTTTGATCAGATTTTGCTCTACTTCCCATGATTTTTTCTCTATCACAAAGTCAAATGGCGTCTGCAGGCCAGCTTGTCCTTCTGAAGTAAAATCCTCCATTTCCTTATCATGAGTCATTTGTCCGTTGGTATCAAGTCTTTTTTCCAGTATCGATTGATAATCCAACTATGAGTTTACTTCTTCCAACTCGGTAAGCGGAGAACAAGCCTCTTGAGCATAAATTGATGTTTCACTTAATCCTTGTGCTTTGCCTTATCGATACACAAAGATCTCCTTTGAGCAAGCAATTATCTTCTCCGTATTTTCCAAAATTTTGTCCAAAATATACTTAAAAGTAAGATCTAAACCGGTTTCCTCCATTTTTATCATATTTAAAATCCTTATCCTTTTGAGGGAGACTATATTTGAAAAACAATCACAATATCAATCTCCTCCCAGGTTCCTCGTCTTTTTCCTTTATACAAAATGAAAGCTTTCCCGGTGAAGAAAAAGTGGCAAATACAATTAATAGTTTCATCAGAAAATGTCTCCCATAAAATAATCAAGATTAATCAGATATACAGTCCTTCTGGACACCATAAAGGTAAAAGAAAACAATATTCTCCAAATGTTATAAAAAACTTTCTTGAGGCTCCCAATATCCAAACATAAAATCAACCATTAAAATGAAAATAGATTTAATCTTTTGAGCTTCTCTTCCCTCATTTAAAAAGCTGCTTCACCAGAAAAGGGAATAATTCCAAGAAAAAAGAACTTTTCACAGGCCTCCTCAATGGTAGTCGCTCCTCCAGAGCGACTTTTCAACCCTCTTGGGTTTACCGGCAGGGGAAACTCGGTCAGCAAAGGGACGACTCCCTTCCCTCGACCGCACCGCCGCGAACCGGAACTGGAAGCCCCAAATTACCATTTAATGTGTGGTATATTTGAGGTCCTAAATTTGTGATATTTCATTACAGAATATTTTATGAAAAATAGTTGCCCAGCGTGCTATATGATCTATCTTGGGCAACATCAGTCTAATAACGGATTTTAGTTGGAAACATTTGCTACTCCATTTCTCTTTTGCTTTTGTTGCAGTTAATTTTCATTTAATAAAATAGCCTTATCCGGACATAGATTATTTGGAAGAATATACTCATTATTATGAATATTCTTGAGTCAAATCCATTTTGTTATCACATAACTGTAATGTATGAAAATGGTAAAATTTTGTCACCACACACTTTCTTGCACTATATCCTGAAATTTCAGTAAAATTCTCTCTGAAATATTAAATTTGGCAATATATTTTAATCTAAATAGTGCTACAAATATAGGCAAATGTTAAAGTTTATGACATATAGTAATCTTCAAGAAATTTTAAAAAATAAATGGTAGATAAACTGTTACCTATTTTTGCTAGTATATCATCCTTAAATTAAACTTAAACTTAAATGTTATTATCCAATCTATGTAATATGTGGAATTTCTGTTAAATCTTGCTTGTAAATCTATTCATTTGTAGCTTTCTAAGTTTTAGACATCAGAATATATTTAACATGATCAGCATTTTATAAAATAAAAATGCGCTATGTATCAGGGCTGTGTCGTTTTTAAAATTGGAAGGCAAAATAGTGCTAAGGTATGAAAATTGCCGTCTGCAACACTTTTTACAGTATCACATAACTGTTTCTCTCATACAGTTCTGTGAAAAGGCATGTTTAATCCCAAACTAATGTCCACACTCCACCATCTTTGCCTTCACATTGCAATACTTTTATAATTTAACCACACAACATTACTAATAACCTATTTAAGATTATTTGGTTTTTAGAGTATGAATTGTTAATTACATAGAATGCCAAGATAATTTTAAGTTGCAAATTCATGAATGTCTCTAAAATTATCTTTTTGCAGGTAAAAGTGATCCATTTTGTGTAATTGAATTGAACAACGATAGATTGTTGACCCACACAATATATAAGAACCTTAATCCCGAGTGGAACAAAATCTTCACTTTGTAAGTCTTACCATACTTTTTAAATTTTCATTTACATGTTTGATTGTGGCTTTCAAAATTATCAGAACTAAATTGCTCTAATTTCTTAAGCGTTCTATGACGAAAAAAAGCCCTGCTTATTTTTGTTCACTTAGTTAGGACTTTAAAATCTAGAATCTAAAAATAATAGGAGCTTGCATCTGGCTATTCAAACCAACCCCTGTTTTGTGGGCTTCCGAAGAGCTTTAAAGCCATGGCTGTCCCAGAAAGCATTTGGGAATAGTGAGGACTGAAATGTACTCATTGGGTAGTACTATTAGGGGATATTGTTGCTTTGATTATGGTTATTCTATTTTAATGTTTTTGTTACTTGATGTAAGTAGCTTGGAGCCATTTGTAATTGAGCAGCAAACAAGCTATAATAAAAAGGGAACTAAGTTTCTTTGTATTGCCATTTTGTAAGAAATGGATTTAGGATTATTACAGCACATGGATCAATCATGTTTAGCACTCTAGAATAACAATTTGTGCACCCCCAATACCCGAACACCATCTGAAATTCAGTGCATGACTTAGAGTAATTTATCATGAGTTGCTTGGCTAAAGGTGGGGCCAACCCTAAACCATCTCCCCCAAAATATCTTTCAGGTGATACCACCAAACACTCTTCTGCAGCCCCTTTAAAGGTCAGGAGGCTAAGAAAGTTTAACACCTAAGACATGCCCATTCCTGTTATAAAAGACAGCCAAAGCTTAGTGATAAATCAGATGTCAAAGGACTAGGTTGAATAATTTGCTGAACTGGACATTAGTAACACAGTACTTTCTAACCAGTTATTGTGATTTTTTTATTTAATAAAAGTGAGTTAAATATAGGAAGGAATGTAATAGGGCTTTGTAATACCGGTATTTTAATATAAGAAAACTGATGTATTGGAGATGAATTGTAGATAAAAAGTTATAGAGAATTGGAGTAGATCTTACAAGTTTACCAATGGAAATATTTGATTTTTTGAATTTGAAGAATGAAGGATCATCTTGTTATTGTAATTTCTCCTAATTATATTACAAGAAAAACAAATCTGTTTCATGTTCTTTACAGTTTAATAATCCACTGAACATTTCTGGTTAGGGCTTTATTTTTTGTTGTTTTTTCTTGTACTTGTTGAAGCCCCAAACCCCAAAAAGGTTAGTGTAAGAACATTATATGATCGTCTTTCTAGTCCTACAAGTCCAACATTCATACCAAGCTTTTTTGGGAGAACGGGGGCAGAGTGCTTGCAACTTCAGACCCTCTGTAACAGTCGTGGCTTTATTTCAGTCTGTTAATGGATGGATAGCATCAGTCATACCATTAATTAATTTTGCTTCAGGTTGAGCAATAATCTGAACATGATGTGAAATGCTACACTGAATATCTGCTTATGATCAGACATGTACTTTCAGGCTTGCAAGATTCTATCCATATAACTTTTCAGTAAAGTAAAATATGTTTCTCTGGTTATGCTCTGTCTCACAAAGCTAGATAATGGCAACCTAGCTACAATTGTTCACATATAGTAACCCTTACGTTTGGATTACATGATGCACTCAGTGTGGGGCTGCCCTTGCATTTATTCCAAAAATCTCATTTGGTGGAAAATGCTGGGAACAAGTTGCTAAGCAAAACACTTGGCCATGTTCATGTTACATGTTGTGAAAACAATTGAATCAGTTGCCTATTAGCTAATAAACCAAGTTCAGATTGTACTGATGTAGAACTTGGAACCAGTTCAAATTTCAGATTAAGATTGTTAGGGGAGATCATTATGTGTGAAACAGGAGTGACATTTTACACATTTTGTGTAATATGCCTGCACTCTGAAATGTTCCACCTTAACATTTGTGAAGTGTCTGCCATTACAACTTTTATTTTCCTTTTCATGCAAGCCTTCACCACTAATTTCTGATTTGTTCTTTTCCCTATTTTTAGATTGAGCATTATTTTAATACTACTCTAACATATTTTAGATTTTAATTCTATTATAAACCACATTGAGATTTTTAATAAAATATAGACACAGATGTATTTATTAATGTATGTGTATTATATAAATTATATTGTATATTACATACATATAGTAATATATTAAAATGATTTATATATAATTTAATAATTGTAATAACAATTATTTTTTAAAAAATTATATCTATTTGGCTAGTTCAGTGGTTCTCAACGTTTGTGTGACGGCGACCCCCGTCACACAAACGTTCTGCGCATGCGCGGCGCTGCGCGCATGCATGGTGCGCATGCGCGGCGGCGGCCCCTGAGGGGAGAAAATGGCGGATCGCCTTCTTTGGCGACCCCCGAAAAATGGTTGATTGACCCCAAATGGGGTTGCGACCCATAGGTTGAGAACCGCTGGGCTAGTTGGAAAGAACAGGAGAAAAGACTGACAGTTGTACTAGGTCCTGCTCTGTTCAAGTGTGTTTATAAGTGATATAACAGAAGGATTGCTAGGTAAGGTTTGTCTTTTTGCTGATGACACAAAGGTGTAGAATAGAGTTGATGTTCCTGGGAGTATTCGTAACATGGAAAACAATTTGGCATTGCTGGAAGATTGGTCAAAGATGTGAAAACTGCATTTCAATGTTTCTAAATGTAAGATCATACACTTAGGAAAACAGAATCCTCTGGCAGGATATAGTATTGGGGTATAATGTTAGACAGAACAACAGAAGAATAGGATTTATGTGTGCTTACAGAATGAGCAAACAGTGTGGCCAGGCAGCTGTGAAGGCAAACATAAAGGATGTCCTAATCCCGCTATTTAGAGCTTTAGTTAGGCCTCATTTGGAATACTGTGTTCTGAAGACCCCACTTAAAAAAGATATTGATAAGATTTAACGAATCCAGAGATGAGCAACAAAAATGGTGCAAGGTCTGAGGGACTAAACATATCAAGAGAGATTGGAGGAACTGAATTCATACAGCTTGGTGGACAAAAGGGAATGAAACCTTTAAATATATTGTGGGTGTGAATAAGGTTCTAGAAGGCAGTATTTTCCATATAAAACAAAAATCAAGAACACAGGGGCTTAACCTCAAACTAATAGGAGGGAAGTTCAAAAATAATGTTAGAAAGTATTATTTCACAGAAAGAGTAGTGGGAGCTTGGAACCAACTTCCAGTAGAGGGAGCTGGTCAATCCTCAGTGACTGAGTTTAAATATGCTTGGGATAAATACATGTCCATCTGCCAACAACATTTTTTTATATTTTTTTTAAATAAAATGTAATAACAAACAAACAAAACAGAAACAAACTCAAAGGGACTACCAGAGGGCTTTTTGCATCGTTTTTTTATATTTCTGTGTTTCTTATTTGCTCAATATGTTGGATCCCGATATCTCACTATAAAAAGAGATGGATAGAAGTTTTCGTCCCACCCCTTCTTCCCCATCCTTTAGACCTAAAACAACTAAAAATGATTCCCTGCTCTTACAATTCTGTTCAGGATAAAGGGAATGGAAGTTAATGGGAAATTGAATTGAATCTAAAAGTTGGATAATTTCATTCATTTTCTCAGCGGTAAATTGGCTTTGCTTTACTTCACAAATACTCACAAATATTTTCACAAGTTTTATTTCTATTACTCCTAGCGTTTATTTTTACAAGTGATTTCCCCTAATATGATTTTTTTTCTTATGTACTATGTTGCAAACTTTTATTTTCAAGATCCTCAAAATTCAGAAAATATATATTTCCAGTTTTCCTTTATATGATGAAGGGCTTTTTTTCTATCCAAGAGGAAAGAAATAGAGGCTGAGAAGAGCTAGCTGAGGATTAGGGATTTGCCATATATGTAGAGGCTATGCAGAATGGTCTTTTCCCAAAGCCCCAGCTTTGACATTAACATTAATTCTGGATAAATGGTGTCTAATTTAAAACTGAAGCAAAAACTTAACTTACAGCGACCATGAGACCACAATAGTCTTAAAAGAGTGATTATTTAAGTGCATTCAACTGCCAATTCTTGCAGGAGGTCTAGAAGAACAATGTGATCAACAGTTTCAACATTGCCAAGAGATCTAGGAAGACAAGGATGGTTGTTCTCCCGTCTCTCAAGTCCTGCCACAAGTGATCCACAACAACCAGTCTGGTTTTCATTCCATGGTCCTCTAGTGCTCCCTGAAATTTTAATTCCATTATTTTCTCAACATCCTTTCCAAAAAAGAGAGGTTGGAGTTAGAGAAAAGGCTGTTCGCTATTGCTGAGTTCCGCAGCCATTTCTCAAGGAGTGAGCAGGCTTCTTTCAAAGCTGCTCAGTAGTCCCTTCCCTCAAAGAAGAATTGATGACTGCGAGAGTCCAACTGCCATCTCCCTTTCTAGATGCTTTGGCCAACCAGATGTGTCAAGTAGAAATACTAATATTATAGAGAACTTTCTCCACTAACTTGAGCCTATGAGGCTCAGAAACTTACTAGGTAACGTCACAAGTTGATATTTCTATAACTTCAAAAGATTTCATCCATCTGGCTTCCAACTCAGAGCAAATGCAAGTGATTTTATCCATAAAATACTCAGCCAGACGATCACAACTTACACTAATTGGTTCTTCCGGCCCATCTTTGCCTAATAGGGTCTGGGACACTTTAAATAGTGCAGCTGGCAGACATTAAACAGACACAATAAGGGCAGGGAAGTATGTAATTGCCAAATGTTCAGCATTATGCCTGAGTATTCCTATTTAAATTGGTTTCTTTTAACCCTCTTTTTCAGGTTTATACTTTCAAAAATAATATGTACTGTTTGATTTTTTGGGGGACTTAGTGGTGCATTTTTGTTGACAACCAATTCAGTGACTTTGCATCTCTTTCTGCCTCACCCTTTATAGCAATATTAAAGATATACACTCAGTTCTTGAAGTGACAGTTTATGATGAAGATCGTGATCGGAGTGCGGACTTCCTAGGCAAAGTGGTTATTCCATTATTGTATGTAAGTTGATATTGTTGTTATTGTTATTATCATCATTGCCATCATCATCTGTTCTGAATTTCTTTATGCTCATGGAAACAATCAGTATAGGCTGTCATTTCTCAACCCAGGTCTGTAATAGGAATACTGAAAAAAATTTAACATACTCAATTCACGGCCATGTTGAATCCCATGATAGTTAATTTTTCTTGACAGACTTGGTCCTGGTAATGAACAGGTACTTGTCAGAATTGCCACAGTTGTTTTGGGTTCTCTGTCAGTTTCAGCAGCTGTGGGTCAAAGGTCATGGAGGGAGTGTATTCAGTAGAGATTGTGAGACAGACGGCTGTCATGTCCTTTTCCTGCAGATTCAAAATGGTGAACAGAAAGCCTACGTTTTGAAAAACAAGCAGCTGACAGGGCCAACAAAGGGGGTCATCTATCTTGAAATGGATGTGATTTTTAATGCTGTAAGTCTTAACTTTGGCTTTTTTGTACTGCTAAAGAGTTCGGTTTCATGAAAGCTTTTGTTCCTGATTTGTAGAGAATTTCTGTCATTCCTCATTTTCTCTAAACTTTGATATATGCTGCAGAATACTCTTCCGCCACTGCCTGAGACAGTCACACTTTATCACCTCACTGTTATTGCTGTAATATATACACAAGCATGAGCTTCTGTGCTTCATATTTCTAGGTTATAATCTTGGCCTTGCGATTTTAAAATGCTGTGATAATGGTTCTAAATAATACATGTATAAGTGCCTAAATATCATGATATTCTGATGTTTAGGTGAAAGCCAGCATCCAAACATTAATTCCCAAAGAACAGAAATATATTGAAGAAGAAAACAGACTATCTAAACAGGTAAAAATTTAGAATTGCAATATTATTGTGCAATTTGTGATGGGGGGTTTTTGGGGTGGGGGAATAAGCATTTAAAGCACTTTTTGATTTATAACAAAAGTTTATCTGGACATGTGAGCACACACACATACATACACATATACACACACACAAACACACACATGCCCCACTCTGAGCAAAAACTGAGCTTTAGAAAAGTGTCATGAGAACCACAATAAAGTCATCAGTTTTCCCCTGTGTATCGGGTTATGGCACAGGTGGCTGTAAACTTAGTCTACCATACTTTTTTTGGTGGCTAATTTGACCTACAGGAACTCTCATATTATTGTGGATTAGAGAATCTATCAGTCTTTTGTTCTCTTAGTTCTAATACTGTGGTGCTTATTAGACTCTTAAGGCAACAAACTTTTATTTGACTCTTCAAAGACTGACAATTATATTTTTTCTGGTTGTGTGTTTACTCTTATTAGCTGAAATATTTACTTATGAATAGTGACTATTTTAAAATTTTCATTTTGTTGAAGAATTGGTTAAAATAATATTACAACCAAATTTATTCTATATTTTTTATTATTACAACTATAGTAATTAAATAAGCACTAAATCAATCTGCTTTTCCAGAACTGATTCATAAACTAAATAGCATTTGTATACTTAACTTAAAATACAGAGTTACTTTCAGTAAGGATTATTTACATAATCATAAAATAAGCAAGTACTCTTTTGTAATACAGAAAACTAAATATTTTCAATATAGTTTCCCCAGATGTTTAGAAATTAGTGGGCACATTTGCAGACAATGGATAGATAATCTTTATCACATAGTTTGAACTTAAAATTTCTCATTAGAGAAATTTTTGTTTTAAAATTCTGCTTAAATAAAAACAGGTACAGTATTATGCTTTGGAATAGCAACAAGTTAGCAAGTTTTTTGCAGTGAATTTTATGAATAAATTCAAGATAATATCTTTCCAAGTACTGGTAAAAAGGTCTTCATAGTTTTTAAAAAGAAATGCATGGTTTTTCTTGTCCTTTTAATGTTTTGTCATATCTTAAATGAAAAAACAAGTAAAATTGCCTGAGAATTACTGCATATGTCATTTCTTATAGTTAGTATAAAATTTTGTTTTAAAAATCTAGATTAATTTAGTAAATCTTTGAACTTCAGTGCTTGGAGCATAGTTACATATTCAGAATGAAAAGTTAGTGAGTACAGCAGCATTGTCATTTCTTCTATTGTGCTGCAGAGTAAAATGATACGGCCTTTTATATTTTGCAATTACGGATAAACCTGTGGATACCTATTGACAATTCCTTTTTCATTTTTCAGTAATAGCACTTTTAGTTTATATAGTGTATCCTTTTAGGATAAAGTGTGAAACACAGTCAGAATGTATTCAACAGCACAAAAGAAGCTAACACATGCTCTGTGTTTCTTACCTCTAGCTTCTTCTAAGGAACTTTATCCGTGTGAAACATTGCATCATGGTCATTATAAATGCTGCCTACTTTATAAATGGTTGTTTTGAGTGGGAGTCACCACCAAGAAGTCTGGCTGCTTTTGTGGTATGATATTTTTAATTTATTCAACACATTATTAATCATTTATGGCATGTTTAATGGTAAACAATTATTAATTATGCACACAAGCTTAACAACTCCCATTTGTCCCTAAGGTCAGTAGGAATGGCTAAACAAACCATAGAAGAATTTTCTGAGGTTTACTTAACCACTTCTACTGGCAAGAGAAGCAAACCAGGAGCAGTGAAGTAGGATGCATCAGCAGGTTACTTTTTCACAATAAGCCAAAACTGAATGTCCAAACACAGAAAATACTTAATAGTCTCACATTTGGAACACACTGTTATCAACTATTCAGCAAGTAAGCAATAATATTGGACAAGTCAGTAGTTTTAGATGTGCACCCTGAGTTACTGATCTCTTTAAAAAAATGATGTACTTTTCATCAGGATTAGGAAGATTAATGCAGTCAGTGGAATCTTTATTATGTCAATCCTGATGAATTAGATTCCTGGTCATCAAAGACAACTTGTGATAGGGTTTTGTTGCTTCATATTCTTAATGTATAATCTGCAGTATTCTTCTGGTAAAAAGTTTTCTGCTGTGTGGGTAGATTTCTACCACTGTTTATACAATAAATGATTCTAATATTGAAGGTACTGTATATAAAGGTTGTTTTCTAGATTTCTTATAAAGCATTACTGTGTTAATAAATACCAGAAACTGAAATTGTGTTTTGTATGGTGTTCAGACAACTGTTTAACCCAAGAAATAATAAAGAGCAGATAACACCAGGCTGTCTCAGGGTTGCAGTGTTGTTTTGTCGACTCTTCACACCTTCCCTTCCGAAAGCGGAGATAAACCAGTTGCCTTAGGTGCATTCCTTTCTTCTCCCCCACTTCTAGCTGACATCAAGGGGAAAGATAGTTCACAGAGGAAGTATGCAGAAACAGCAAAGTGTTATGGTATAGAGATAGAAGAAAACAGAGCAATAACCCACAATGCATTTCCCCCCTCCCCTCCATGAGTATGGCATATCCCAGAAGTATAGAAAGAGTAGGCTTGGAATTAAAGGTAGAAAAGGGGCCCCTTAGAATATGGTTTCTGACATCCTGCCTCCCTTAAAAAAAAGAGAGATCCACCTGTGGAGACATAGAGACATATATATATATGTTTTCTGAGGTTTTCGCGGGTATTTGTATATAGGTCTTTGGTTGTTCGGGTTTTCTCCCGCGTAAAATTGGAAGTGTCTTGGCAACGTTTCGACGAAGTCACATTCGTCATCTTCAGGCTGGTGTTTTTAGCTTCTTGCTTTGAGCAGCAATGTGTGGTTTTAGCTGTTTCTTCCTTTTAACTGCCAGTGAGGGTATGAACTGATTGGATGGGAGCTTGGCTGTGTTCTGATTGGGTGGAGGTGTGTTCTGAATGGTTAGGGGCTTGGCTGTGCTCTGATTGGCTGGGGGAGTGTTCTGTTTGGTTGTGCTCAGGTTAGTCTGAGTTGCAGAGGGGTTTAAGATTTTGGGGTTAGGGAGTCGTTTGTCAATAAGGGCAGGTTTCCAAATGGCTGGTAGGCGGGAGGTATCATCTCGCTTGTTCATGCTGTGTGGGCGTTTTTCTATCTCGATGGCTTCTCTGATTATTCTGTTATTAAAATGTTCACTTTTGGCAATGGTTCTGGTATTTTTAAAGTCAATTTCGTGTCCTGTGGCTTTAAGGTGTTGGACCAGGGAAGATGTTGGTTCCTCTTTTTTGACTGAGTTCTTATGTTCTTCAATGCGTGCACTTATTCTTCTGTTGGTTTGTCCGATGTATGTGGTGGGACAAGTGGTGCATGGGATTTCGTATACTCCTTGATTTTCTAATTCAATTTTATCTTTGGGGTTTCTAAGGATGGTGGATATTTTTCTGTTTGTGCAGAATGCTGTTTTGATGTTGTGTTTATGAAGGATCTTACTGATTCTGTCTGTGGTGCCTTTTATGTATGGGAGGAGGGCTTTGCCGTTTTCTTGTTCTTTGTCTTGGATTTTGGTGGGGGTTTCTTTTTGGATTAGGTTTGTAATCTTATTTCTATGGAATCCATTGGATGTTAGTACATTGGTGAGAGTGTGTAGTTCGGGTTTTAGGTGTTGTTCGTCAGCTAAGCGTTTTGTTCTGGAGATGAGTGTCTTGGCTACAGAGTTGATCTGTGCTGGGTGGTGGTGTGAGAGAGCGTGCAGATAGCGGTTTGTGTGTGTTTTCTTCTGGTAGATGGTGTGTCCTAGGGAGCCATTGGATTTCTTGTAGACTAAGACATCCAGGAAGGGAAGTTGGTTGTTAGCTTCTGTTTCCATGGTGAACTGTATTTTGGGGTGTAGGCTGTTGAGGTGTGTGAGGAAGTTGTCCAGTTTTTCTTTCCCATGTGGCCAGATTATGAAGGTGTCGTCTACATATCTGAGCCAGAGTTTGGGTTTGTGATCCGATTTTTCTAGAGCTTGGGTTTCAAAGTGTTCCATGTAGAGGTTGGCAATGACAGGTGAGAGGGGTGATCCCATGGGTGCTCCTTCTGTTTGTTTGTATTTTTGTCCATTATAGATGAAGTATGTGTTGGATAGGCAGTGGTTGGTCAGATCTAAGATGTGTTTGGGGGGGTTATATTTGTTTTGAATAGCTGTCAAGGCTTCTTTGATAGGCACTTGGGTGAAGAGGGATATGACATCGAAGCTCACTAGTAGGTCGCTGGGCTGTAAGTTTTGTTTCTTTATGATCTCTATAAACTGGAATGATTTTTTACGTGTGAGGTGATGGATTCTGCATAGGGCTGTAGTTGTTTGGCGAGAAATTTGGCTAGGTTTTGTAGAGGTGAGCCTATGGAGCTGACTATAGGTCTGAGTGGGGTTCCTTCTTTGTGTATCTTGGGGAGACCATAGAGTTTAGGGCATCTGGATGATTTCTCTCTGGGAATGATTCTTTGCTGGATCTCTTCGCTAATGGGGGAGGCTTTTATTTGGTTCTGGTGGTTTTTTCCAGGTAGGTGGTGGGATCTGTATTTAGGGGTTTGTATGTGGAGTCTTGGAGTAGGTTGGTTAATTTGGTTTGGTAGTCAGATGTGTTCATAACCACCGTGGCGTTGCCCTTGTCTGCTGGTAGGATTATTATGCTGGTGTCTTCTTTCAGGTTACGTAGTGCTGTCTGTTCCTCTTTGGGTAAGTTGCTTTTGGGTGGCTTGCTGGTGCAGAGGATGTTGGTGATTTTGAGTCTGATTTTGTTAGCGTCATCGGGGTTGATTTTGGTCAGGCTGGTTTCAACTCCACATATAATGGTTTCAGTGGGGATGTGTTTGGGAGCGACTGCAAAGTTGAATCCTTTGGAAAGGACATTGGTTTCGGCTTTGGTGAGGATCCTATCTGAGATGTTATGCACTGTTTGTTTCATGTGTGGCTGTGAGGGAGGAGGGGTTTGTTTCTGGCGTTCTTGTAGTCTTCGGAGTTTGTTGGTGTGTGTATCTGTCTTGAGGGTGGTCTGTGTTTCGGCTCTCCAGACGGCGAGTTGTTTGGATTTGTCCCAAAGTGCGGGGTGGATCTTGTTGCTGAGTTTGAGGTGGAGTGTGAGGAGATCTTTGTTAATTCGGTCTAGGAGGAATCTTTTTGTGTGAAGTTCATTTCTGATTAGGGCCAATTCTGTTCTTTTCAGGATCCGTTTGGTGGCTGCAGAGTTGGAGTGGAATTTCAGTTGGAAACATGTGGGGATTAGATTTTGATCTCGGCAGTTACGTAGGAATGCGAGGTCACATAAAATGGAAGCTCTTTGGACTTCAAGTTTTTCATAGGTCCTGGTCAGATGGTGGATTTCCTCCCCGTAGAGGTTCGATATTTGTTTTCTGAGGTTTTCGCGGGTATTTGTATATTGTTTTCAGCTTCGTGCTTCGAGCAGCAATGTGTGGTCTTAGCTGTTTCTTCCTTTTAACTGCCAGTGGGGGTATGAACTGATTGGGTGGGAGCTTGGCTGTGTTCTGATTGGGTGGAGGTAGATAATATTGAATTAGAAAATCAAGGAGTATACGAAATCCCATGCACCACTTGTCCCACCACATACATCGGACAAACCAACAGAAGAATAAGTGCACGCATTGAAGAACATAAGAACTCAGTCAAAAAAGAGGAACCAACATCTTCCCTGGTCCAACACCTTAAAGCCACAGGACATGAAATTGACTTTAAAAATACCAGAACCATTGCCAAAAGTGAACATTTTAATAACAGAATAATCAGAGAAGCCATCGAGATAGAAAAACGCCCACACAGCATGAACAAGCGAGATGATACCTCCCGCCTACCAGCCATTTGGAAACCTGCCCTTATTGACAAACGACTCCCTAACCCCAAAATCTTAAACCCCTCTGCAACTCAGACTAACCTGAGCACAACCAAACAGAACACTCCCCCAGCCAATCAGAGCACAGCCAAGCCCCTAACCATTCAGAACACACCTCCACCCAATCAGAACACAGCCAAGCTCCCATCCAATCAGTTCATACCCTCACTGGCAGTTAAAAGGAAGAAACAGCTAAAACCACACATTGCTGCTCAAAGCAAGAAGCTAAAAACACCAGCCTGAAGATGACGAATGTGACTTCGTCGAAACGTTGCCAAGACACTTCCAATTTTACGCGGGAGAAAACCCGAACAACCAAAGACCTATATACAAATACCCGCGAAAACCTCAGAAAACAAATATCGAACCTCTACGGGGAGGAAATCCACCATCTGACCAGGACCTATGAAAAACTTGAAGTCCAAAGAGCTTCCATTTTATGTGACCTCGCATTCCTACGTAACTGCCGAGATCAAAATCTAATCCCCACATGTTTCCAACTGAAATTCCACTCCAACTCTGCAGCCACCAAACGGATCCTGAAAAGAACAGAATTGGCCCTAATCAGAAATGAACTTCACACAAAAAGATTCCTCCTAGACCGAATTAACAAAGATCTCCTCACACTCCACCTCAAACTCAGCAACAAGATCCACCCCGCACTTTGGGACAAATCCAAACAACTCGCCGTCTGG